ACCTTAAGCCTTTTTTGATGCTTCCTTTTTTAGGAAAAAAAAAAAGTCTCATTGCAAGTAGACATCAAGCAGGACTTGGAGCATCTTATATATAATATAATCCACACAAAGGGTCTGTTTTTATAGGTTTCGTTTGTTTTCATTCGAAAGTTCTGAAGTCCTTTGCTGAATGGTAGCTAGTTTTTTGTTTTTGAGAAAAGGATAGATGATGGTGGAGGGAGAGGACGGGGGGGGGGCTTTTTCTGTATATTGCTCTTTTCTGGAGAAGTTTGTGCGAGTGATTGCCTGTGAGTGCACGCGCGCGAGTGTGCATTCTTGCAGTTGTGGGTCGTGTGTGTGTGTGTGTGTGTGTGTGTGTGTGTGCATGCGTGCAGTTGTGTTTATGTCGGAGGATGGTTTGCTTTTGTTTCTGGACCTCACGTTCGATTCTCATCTGGGTGCTTTGGGTGGAGGGGAACTCCGGCTCCCCCAGCAAGCCACCGCCCGAGGATCAGCGTGGCTCCACCTCGTGCCCAGCCTGGGCTCGGGGGTGTCACCGGAGCCCTTGCCCTCCCGTGCTCCCATTCGCTCGCCCTCCGAACCTCTCGCTCTCTCTGGGTGTCTCTACTTGCTCGCTCGCGCCTCTCCGCCAACCTCTAGGAGTCGTTGGGACCGGTCGCAGCTTCTTTGCCTCCTGCCGAGGCCGCCGCCGCCGCCGCCGCAGCCGCCGCCGCAGCCGCCGCCGCCGCAGCCGCCCGGGCTGCACTGACGCCGGAGTCGTGCAGGATGAGGTCGGGGGACTCGGAGCGGGGCGTCTCCAGGTTGCTGGCGTCCGTGTCACTGTCGCTGCCCTTTTTGCCCCCGCCGCCCCCGTTGTGCGTCTTAATGTGTTTGCTCAGATGGTCGCTGCGCATGAAGCGCTTGTTGCACACCGGGCAGGCGAAACGCTTCTCGCCCGTGTGAGTCCGCAGGTGCCGCTGCAGCTCGTCCGAGCGCGTGAAGCGCTTGCCGCAGAAGAGCCAGTTGCACACGAAGGGCCGCTCGCCCGTGTGCCAGCGCAGGTGCGCCTTCAGGTGCGACGTCTTGCCGTACACCTTGCCGCAGCCAGGGATGTGGCAGCTGTGCAGCCCCTTGCGTCGCAGGCTCGCCCCGGCCGGACCTAGCCGCTCGGCCTCCTGGCAGTTGGGGCAGTCGCAGGTGGCACGGCCAGAGTAGCGGCGGGCGGAGCGCGCGGAACTGCCCCCGGCGGCGGCGGCCGCGGCCCCGGAGATCATGGCGCTGGCGGCGGCCGCGGCCACTGCGGCGCTGGAGTCCGAGTAGGAGGGCAGCACCGGCTTAAAGCCGTCCTGGGCCAGCAGGTGCTGGCTGGTGGAGAGCAGGTGCGAGGCGGCGGCGGCCGAGGAGCCGAGGCCGGTGGAGCTGAAGGCCGAGTGCGTGAGCGAGCTGAAGTCGGGGTTGTAGGTGCCCAGCTGCGAGTGCAGCGAGGCCTGGGGGGCGCCCGAGTGCAGCGAGCTCTGCAGCCCCCCGGCGGGGTTCTGCACCTCCAGCCAGGAGCCGGGGCTGCTGTGCACGTCCCACCACGACGACGCCGCGCCGTTGGTCACCTCGCCCGCCGCCAGCGTCGAGTGGAAGCCCGACTTGTACCACGACTCGTACGGATGCGCCATGCCCACGCGCGGATACAGGCCGTCGGCAGCCGTCGTGTGCACCTTGGAGATGAAGGCCGACTGGCCGCCCGCCTCCTGCGGGGACACGCCGGCCGCCGCGGCCGCAGCCGCCGCCGAGTTGGAGAAGAGGCCGCCGTAGTCGCTGCTGAAGGCGGACGACGTGGGGGACGTGGAGGCCAGGCAGAAGGCGCTGTTGGCGGCTCCCGAGCCACCCGCCAGGCCGCTCGAGCCGCGGCCACCCGTGGCCACAGCGAAGCCGGAGAGGCTGGAGCCGAGGTTGCAGCTGGACGAAGAGCGCTTCCAGGGGTGGAAGCCGCCTTTAGCGAAGGCGCTGGACTCGGGCAGCGTCGTCAACGGGCTCGTGTTGCCGATCTTGTTGCAGGTCGCCGCCAGCATGGCCAACGGGGTCGTTCCGAAGCGTGGCTCTTCCTGGAGTGGGTGGGGTGAGGGAGGGAGCAAGGAGGAGGAGGAGGAGGGCGGGAGGAAGTGGGGGAAGACACAAAGTGCACCCGTGAGCAGCCTCGTTCCCCGCGCCGGTCCCCGGGGCCCTGGCACCCCGACAGCGCCTCCTCCCCGCGCGCTGGCCGAGGACGTGCCGCACCCCGCACAAGGCAGAGGCCCTCACGGTCGTAGAGGTCCTGGCGCTGTAAAGTTGTTCTTCCGTGAGACTAGATCAGAGATGCCTCGGTTTTCTTCACCTCGTTCGCTGCCACCCTGGCCTACAATCAGACCTGACGCCATAAACCGCTCTTCTCCCAGGAGCCCCCAAGTCGCCCTTCCGGATGTAGCACGAAGGTAAACACAGACAACAAACCCGGGCGAGGGCAGGGGGATGGCCGAGATAGCGGCCCAGAGCTGGGCAAAACTTAGCTAAGTCGTAGTCACTCGTGCGAGGAGTGTTCTATTTTCTTTTATAGTTCAAAAACATGGTTTTAATATTTGCACGCACGCACACACACACACACACACAGCTACAAAAATAATCCGAGTATAAACGGCCCAGTGGCCGCTTTCAAAGTCAAGGGCGAACGGGGGGGGGGGGTCACGCTAATGTAAATGTTTATTAATGCAACTGCATGATCTGCAAAACAAGACTTTTCTGAAAGCGTTGTCCTGTAATGCAACAATCCCCAAAGCAAGGGGGTGGGGTAAAACCAAAGAGAGTAAAAGAAACCTTCAGCTTTGCGTTAAAAGCAATTGCAAGGGAATTTGCTTAAATTCTTTGCTTGCAAAGGCAATGCCCCAGGTTCCAATAAGATCAGTCCCAGAAATGTGGAAAATGCTAAAAAGGAGCCTGAAGCCGCGGTCCAGCAACAGTTTCATGTGAGCCGCGGACCCAGAGAAGCCATAAAGAAAAAGAAAAAAAAAAAAAAACTCCAGCAAAAAAACGAGCAACTGCGTTGCAGCGCTTTTTTTTTTTTTTTTACTTACCCCGAGTATAGACGTGGCCATAGCAGGTCTCTTGGCTGCGCGGCGAGGCCGGGGAGCGGTGTTAAGCCTGGCGGCTGCTGGAAAACACGACTCGGGTCCCGCGCGGCTCCCGCGTCCCGCGCTCGCGCCGAGCGGACTCTGGGCTCCCGCCGGCAAAACTCAGCCTAAGTGCGAGGAGCACCCGCTTTGAAGTGCCGCTGGCTGCGCCTCTCGCCCAATGAGGGCGCAGGCAGAGCAGACGGGAGCTGCCCCGCAGCCAATCAGACGCGCCGAGGGGCCCGAGCCCGGGCTCCTGGCGCGTGCCAGTCAAGTCTGCGGGCGTGGGTGGGAGGGGGGGCGGGCTGGGGACAGAAGAAATTACAGTGCAATTAAAAATTTACACACACTCACGTACCGAGCCAGGTTTAAGTACCGTTGAGACCGTTCCGCAAGACCCCCCCTCCACCTGGGTCACCTCAAGATGTTGCTAGTTAGGGCTGACAGTCTTCACTCCCCACTTGTGCGGAAGAAGCAGGAGAGGTGGGGGACACCCGGGCCTGGGGCACAACTGGAAATGATTTGCGTTCACATTATGTGCACAGGTTCTTGCTGCGAAGAACCTCGGCTTGTACCCATCACTCTCGCTGTCGATTTCATCATTGCCGTGGTCGTTTTACCAGTTTCTTGTTTCCACTGTATTCGGTTTTACGCCCAGAGTCCTATTGAGCAAAGGGCTCAAGGGACAGCTGGGCCTCTCCAGGCAGGTCTACACCCACAGACTTAGTGGGAGAGCCCAGAGCCTGCTGCATCCCGCCATTTTCCTCCAGCGGTCTAAGTGACTTCCTAATTGTCGCTCTGGCCTCTGACCCAGGGGGTAATACAAGTGCCACTCATGCCAGAAGCTTCTGGTGGTAATTGAGGGCACCCTTTGTACGGCTTCGCCAGCGCCTAGATACCAGGTTAACCCAGTTGTCAAATATGACTAAACAGTGGGACGTGCTGATTATCTGCCAGGTTTTACTGGGGGCTGGCGTGGGGGTGGGAAGCATCAGCCCATACAACACGCCGCACGAAGCCGCTTATTTTCACATTGTAACAACTTTGGAAACAGAGACCAGCGTTAGAGGCGTCCGCCCCCACCGCCACCCCCGCCGAAGCTGCAGCTTGCTTGCACCGCTGTTTGTTTAACCCGGTGGAGATTTGCATGTCGGGTTTCAGCCTGAAGTCGGAGTTTTAGATGTTTATAAAAGTAGTTTTTTCTTGCTTGGGCTCCAACTTGTCTCTACTGCAGACTGCCAGGGCCTAGAAACTCGGTCTGCAGGGCCAAGGGTGTCCAAAGGCAGGCTCGTCCTCAGTAGGCACCCTGCTGTCACAGACCTGCGGGGGACCTCTCCGGAACCTTCAGCGAAGAGTCTGCGGGAGCCAGGCCACACGTGGGCGCCTCCGCGTTTCTGCAATCTGGAAGCATCATCCACTCCTCTCCGGACCTTAGTGTCCTCGCACATCGCAGGGAGCCGCCCGCCGCTGGAGTGTTTCTGGTCCTCCGGGTCTCCACTTTCTCTTTTCCAGGATAGCCAGAGGCTGCTTTTGAACTAGAAATCCCAGCGCCCTCAGGCAGGTCTGGGTACTGTGAAGCATGTACCGCATTCCCCCTCCGAACCCACATCCTGCTCTCTAAAAATAATAACCGCCATCCCCAAACGCTCGAGTGCAACAGACAATTTGTCGAGGAAGGACCATTGAGGAGGTCGTGGAGGTGCGCTTCCAGCGTCTTCTCTGTTCCCTCGCAAGATCTCTAGGCCCCAGAGTAAGTCTCCAGCAGCACTCCTCTCCACCTTAAGGTGGAAGACTAGGCCTGCGTGCATCCGCTCTCCTCGCTCTCTTCGTAGATGTGGATGGCTATGAGGATCGCATTCACTGCTTTTCACTAGAATTTTTTTTTTCTCAGAATGCCTTAAAAAGAAAACAGCACCTTTAAGGTGGTAAAAAGCACGGAGGAAGATGATTGCGGAAAAAGAGAAAAGAGAGAGCTGGCTTGAAGGGAGCAACGTGCCCTAGGGGACCGAGGGAGAAATGTGAGGGGGGGAGGGTAACGAAAGGCTCCGGGGCGTCAGGGTGGAAGGTTGGGGGTGGGCACCGGGCCGCAGGACCCAGACGGAAAGCCCAGCAGGGGGACCCTGGAGCTTTTCCCAACAGGTGACTTCTGCCCTGGAAGGGGAGGCTGGCCCTTGACTTCCCGTAGCGTCCCGCGCCGATTTACTAATAGAGGGATTGTTAAGTGGCAGCGAGGCGTTTCCGATTCACCCGGTGCAGCCACTGGAGGAGAGGTGCCCAGGGTTCCCCACGACTTCTCCTCCCCAGCCCGCCCTCTTAAGGAAACCTGACCAAGTAATAAATAAGACGATCCGCAAGGCCACTTGGCACCAGTGACATTTTCATGCCATTTAAACAGTTCTCACAGGCACCTCGGGCCCGGGTCCTCTCCTCCTCCTCCTCCTCCAGCAGCTCCCTCCCCCTCCCGCTGTGTTCCACGCAGTTCCAGCTGTCAGACTCTGAACGTGGGTACTCTCATATTCCTAGATACACGCGTCCTCATCACAATAAAAGTTAGGGACAGACAATCCGGGCCGGTTCGACTCCCAGGTGGGGCTGAAAGGAACTCTTTCGGGCAAAGTCCGGTTTTGCTTTTTTTTTTTTTCCCCTCCTCACGTCTGACAGATTTTTTTTTCATCTTCTAAAAAATCTAGTTTTTAAACAAAGATCAATGTGTTATGCTAAAGTGTTGAGCTGACTGTTAAAACATTTGGGGAAATAATGACAATGTAACAAAGGCCTGGTTTGGAGTGAATCATCACCCTTTTAAAAGTTAAAGCAATTTTCAGGAGAATAGCTTTCAGCAAACGCTTTACATTATTCAAAACGGCCAAATAATGCTCTATTATAGCGCCTGAATGCTGCCAGTCAGCCCCTAAGTGCAATTTGTGCAAAGGCCCCGGTGCCTTATCTCCACTTCTTTATAAAGAGGTGAATATAAAACAATTTCTTCCAAACCCAGACAGAGAGCACGAAAATTGCTTCCCTTTCTGCAATCAGGGCAATTTAACTGGAGTGCAATTAGCACTATTAAATGTCGATTCTGCATAAACAAATCTGACTGAGCAGAGAAAGTGGGGTGAGAACCTCATATACACTGAAACTGATTTTTTAAAATTATGTATCCGGGTCCTTTACAATTGATCCGTGACGTTTTCATCTTGGCATATATTTACATCGTAAATACACTATGGTTAAATCAACATGATTTTTTGCAAAAAAAAAATTCAATACGAAACCCAATAAAGAATGGAGTGATTAAAGGGAAGAGTTTATTTCCCTTGAACAAATGTTGTTTCTCCCGTTTTTGGCTCAGCGAAGGGCTTTGATCTGAGCAACTGCTCAAGTTTGTGGTGTTTAAGGGGCAAAGCTAGGGAAACAATTTCATCTTGAGCACTCATCCCGGATGGAAGCGCCTATGCTGTAGATGAAATGCTTTCTCGCTGAGACGATGCACGCAGGAATCAGGGTGGCGATTCCGAAGACCAGTTATTTTCTGAACTCCTGCATACCGTAGCTGAGTAAACATTAGGTAGCGGCCCAGTCTCCTCGCAGGTTAGCAGCTAAGGTGCTTCACTGAGGTGGGGTAAGGTGTGGTTGGAGACTCAGGATGCGGGCAGGAAGGGAGGCGTTGGGAGGGGGAGGAACCCAAGGGTTCTCAAATTGGTGGGGCCAGTTTCACTGGAAGCCTGGGCCACAGTAACCAGGCTGGGGGGCGGGGTGTGGGCGGGGGTAAGAGGAGGAAGCCCTTAAAAGCATTTGTCTGACCTGTCCTCCCACCCGCCTTTATTTATTTATTTGCTAAGCCACAGAGGCACCCGTTTTGAATCATTTGTGCAATTAATTATGCTTTTCATTTGCATGATCTACACCAGAGCAGTGATTATCAGGTCAGCACCGTGTGGGAGTTGGGGAGAAACATAATAACTTCAGTTTAAAAAAAAAAAGCTGCGTTTGTACGGTAGTTGCCTGCCTTGAGCAAGGGGGGGAAGGAAGCCCTGCCCCGTGCAGCGGTGCAGCCCTTAGTGCCTGTTGAGTCGAGTGAATCTTCCCACAGTCGGAGTTTGTCAGTGTGAGTGAAAATGAAATACAGCCTTTGATTAGACGGGAATCTTTTATAGTTAACATATACTTATGTCTTTAAAAACACCAGTCTTGAGTTCAACCGGATCAAGAAAATTAATTAAAAATTGAGGAACTCTCCCACAATTTCTGTGAAGCTTTTATTTAATAGTCATTTTATAACACCCTTCCTTATTTTAGCCCAACCCTTACAAATAAAAAAGGCCAATGAAATTTTCATCTTTTTTTTTCTTTCTTTCTCTGTCTCAAAGGTGTCACTCCCGTTTCGAGGTGCTGGGAGGTGCAAAGCATTCCGGTTTCTGAAAGGTTTCCAGGAGAAACCAGAAAGTCCCTGGCCTGTGGAGACCAGTCCATGCCTTTACTGCACTAGCAGCTGTCTGGTGCTAGATGTGACTGGACCTCATAGCCTAAGCTTGCCTTGATCTGTTTATCTGAGCCAAAAATGCATTGCCAATTAAAGGAGAGAATGGTATGTCAAAGAAAGGAAGGTGACTGGGGACTGTGATGATTTTAATGACTGCAATTATTGGAAGATTATTCAACAAGCATCATAGGTTTGTTTACTGCATCACTGGGAATCTATGGGGGGCCTGTTGGGCTTGAGTCTGTACTTTCCTTCCTCACCAATCACGATGAGGGAGTCCCAGACAGGAGTTTCAATTTTTTTCTTTTTAAGAGAAGTTCTACCCAAATGATACATGTGTTGCCTCAGACAAGGCTAACAGAACCATCCTTGAAGCCACTGTGAGATCTTCTCATTTTTATCTGAGCCTAATAACCAGGAAGGCCAGAGGCCAGAGGATTCTGGTCATAAGCCCTCTTCTGGCCAGCACACTAGTTTCCCCAGCTTAAGCACTCCCCAGGCAGCCTGAGAGGTGGCTTCTGCACCTTCCAGCATTTTCCTCCTTCCTCTAAAGCTCAGAGAAGGAAACCACTCCACTTGTAAGAAGCACACTTCCCGAGCTCTGGGAAAGTTCCTCTTCTCTTCCTTCAAGAATCCCTTCAAATCGTGCCTTTTCATTACTGTTCAAAATAAGTCAAGGAAGAGATATGAGCAAGAGCATATCGGTTTGTGACTAGCCAAGGTTTTTCTGTAAATATAACTGCAGGGGATGTAAATACAGAAGGTTTCTGATAGTGGCAAAATGTGTTTTGGTTCACAATGGCTTATCCTGGGGATGCTGATGTGGAAGTTACCTTGGACATGCCCAGCAACACTCTCTTTTCTGAGCAGCAAGGCTGAAGTAGCAGGGTGCTCTTTCTGGGTTCTGTAATGACCAGCCTGGGGCTTAAGGTAGACTGAGCTGGCATTGAGAACCTTCCCTACTCAAGTGTGAGCCTGCAGGCTTCTGCAAATGACAATTAGGAACCTATTACAAGCCATTAGATTGACCAATGTACCTTAAACAATGTGAATGATTTATATGGCTGATTTATAAGGGTGAAAGAAAGAGGGGGGGATGGCTCCATATCCCTTATATCTGTGGCACTGCTGTGCAGAGTAGGGGACCCAGACCCTTAGACAGCTTTTCAAGCAAAGACTTAGGTTCCTCAGCTTGTCCAGTGGGTGGCGAGATGCATGCTCTTTGCCCGTGTTTCTTCTTTTTAAGGAAAAGCAAAAAAGGCCAACACTAAGGCCAGACACAGAAGAGGAGGGTCACAGAGATGCCCCTCCGATAGCAGAGGACACTACCAGCAGGGGTCCCAGCTGCCTCCCTTCCTCAGTCTTCCCTCACAAGAGTGACTCACATATTTGTCTAATGGAGTGTTGGATTGCTGCATGGCCCCTAATTACTGCAGAAACACACACCATTAGCCCTTGAAATTTCAGGCCAGACTAGGGAGAAGCAGCAGCCAGGCTCTGGAAGGAAGATGATGCTGACGGTGAGGAGGGAGGGAAGTCCTCCTTAGGGCCAACTCTTCCAGCTAGTCTACACAGCGAAGACAAGCTTACAATGGGGCTGAAGCCACCAAAGCTGCCCTCCCTTTCCTACAAAGTCTGTTTGTAGCTGTCTACTCACTGCAGGTACTCTTGGGCTTCTCACACAACAAGGCAATTCCTGCCAGTCCCCCCCCCCCATAGCCTGTAAGGAGAGGATAGACACGCTTCACCCATCCCAAAGGAGGCTTCCCTTTGTTTGACTTCTTCCTTCTGAGGCACCTTCAGCTGGACAACGCAGGGGGAGGCCAGGCTGGAGAGACTGTGGGTCTGATTAGTGACTTCCACGGAGCATCCCATACTCAGTTCTAACTCTGCCTCTCCTCCTGTCCCCCTTCCTCCCTTCACAGGTCTCTCTGCCTCCCGAGCCCCTCACCCCCACCCAGGTCCTCTTACCACCCTTGTTCTGTCCCCAGAGCTTGGACAGGGTATGTCCTGTACCTTAGTTTGGCAGGAAAGAGCTTCATCGTGGTTTGTTCACTATTGTCTAAAACAGATCCTTTTGCTCGTGTCTAAGTGTGGAGTCTTTCAAGGGTTGGTGGTGGTGGTGCAGAAGGAAGAGGGAAAGAGAAACAACATCCGTGTGTCCTTTGCAGCCTGTGTTCCACGGGAGACCAGGATTTGGAAAACCTTCTAAAAGGATCATGCTCTCTCCAGAACACCTCCCTCCCACCCCATCACACACACACACACACACACACACACACACACACACACACACACACACACACACCTTGCCCTGGAATCTCTTCTCAAGGCCCAGAAACTCCAAGAGGCAGAGGAGGGAGGTGGGGTGTGTGGGCCGGGAGATCCCCAGTGAGGACTCAGGCATCCCTGTGACATTGCCCAGAGAAATGCGTGCTTTCTGGATTTCAGCCGCTCTAGAGCCCATCCCCGGTGGGCCGATCTGTCTCACCCCCCACTGGTGTTCCGCACACCCAGCGGCCAGCGGCCGTGAGGGCACCTGGACTGAATGGTGTGTGGGCCGCTCCACACCCTTCAGACACGTGCTTCTCGCCCCTGCACTCTTTCCCAGAACTGCAAGCCAAAGACACACTTGCTGAGGAGAAGGACACACTCACCGAACACATGCCCTGGGGCATCCATCCTCGTTCCTAGCCAGGAGTCAGAGAGCAGGGTGGCCTTAAGGCAGGCGACAATGTGGAGAGGAAGGCTCAGAGCTCCAGAAACATCCCTGGGAATTCTGGCGGGCGGGGACACTCAGATTTCTCAAAACCTGCCTGAAAGCCTCTGGCGGAGTGGCCTGCTCGGTGCGAGGCTGGGCCTCTCCTCCACCTCTGGTACCCGGCTGAGCTGAGCATCTCCGCTCCGGTCCAGCAGCCCTCTGCAAGAGCCCGACACCCTTCTTGCTCCGTTACATCTGTGATGTTTTGCCCTTTAATTGTCAACCCGGTTATTGTGATCTAGTGAGTGTTGCTAATCTCTACATTTATTGTTTAGGTAAATAGAGGTTGCGTTTCATCAGTATGCCGGGCCCCAGCCCTCGCAGAGCTAAGTAACTTAAGTCAACGCTGAAAATTTCAGGGTGTGTGTAATTACAGGGCACGCGGGATTTTTCACTCGATCCTAATTCCACATCTTTTCTCCGACCCGGGGGGGGGGGGCAGCAGGAGGAGGGAACCCGAGGAATCTCCACCCTCTGAGGAGTGGAGGGCCTGATCCTTTCAAGCAAAGGAACTTCACTGGCGGTGACACCGAGCTGTGCTGTCCTCGACCCACAGCCTGAGATGGATCTCAGGACAACCCTAAACTTCCAAGCTGCAGACACCAGCACTCCCTCCGCAGTGCGTCTGGAACCCTCCCCTGAAATCTGCCGCAGTGAGGAGGGGTTCCCCACTCGGCGGGCCCTCGTGGGAGCGGGAGGGATTTGGAGGCAGCTTGTCCCGCGCGCGGTCGCGCTGTGGGCTTCTTGTTCTGCTCAGCTGCGCCCAGTCCCTTGCCCTGGGGTTGGAGCGAGAGAGTGTGCTGTGCTAGCCGGGTACCAGCGCTTCTTAAATAGCTATGGCTTACTAATTAAGAGCATCTAAACCCAGAGACTAGGAGAGGACTAGAAATTCGCCTCAAGGAATGGGGGGTCGCCTTCAGTCAAGGCTGCTAGGGGCTTCTTACTGCCTCTGGGCTCTGGGAGTGGCCTTGGACTGGGGAGGGGGCGTTGCTCTGAGTCTGGCAGGGAAAGGGTTAGCTGAGAATATCCCAGGAGGCTGTAGAATGAGACTCTAAAAGGCTGATTCTCTAATCTGAGGGATGAACACTTATCAGGCAACCAGGTTGCAGGGAATTTGCTTCTGCTTCAGGAGTAACTCCAGTTATAACCGGACGTCCATCTTGCAGGAGATAGTCTGGCTTTAATTAAGCAGAATTTTGAAGTCAACCCCTCACAAGTTTGGGGTGTTGGTGCAACCACTAGAATAAATTATAACCGAGGCGAGAACTCGGGACCACAGTATGGAGAGGGAGCTAGCAGTTGTTCATATAAGGCGTTTCTCTTTACTTTCCTCTTTCCTTAAAAGTTGAATAGCGTTTGCAACAAGGGTGAAATTAAACACAAATGTCAGTTCAATCCCGACAGCCTTTCTTTCTGTTACCCCATTCTGAACCTCCCCTTTACAGGCCCAAGCTGCTTTCAAGCCTGTGACCCCCTTAACATAAATGCTGGTCTTTTACCACACTGACAATACCTGGCAGTACCTCAGTGCTCTTTGAGAATTAAAGGTCTTGCCTTTTTAGGAACATCCACCCACAGCTAAGACACTAAGACTAAAACAAGCCCAGTGGCCACTCCATAGCAGCTTCAGGTCTGTGCTCCATGGATTCTAGGGATGGTTTGTTGTTGGCTGAGTTGGTTTTGTTTGATTTGGGTTTTGATTTGTTTTACATTCTTTTGTTGTTTTTGTTTGTTTTTATTATTATTATTATTATTATTATTATTTTTAAGTTTAAATTTAGATTAGAAACAAGGTTGCTTCACAAGTCAGTTCCAGATCCCTCTCCCTTTCCCTCCCCTCCTCCGGTGCCCTCCTCCCAACTCCCCTCATTTCCCCAGGAAGGGTGAGGCCCTCCATGGGGGTGTCCACAGTCTGTCATTTCATCCAGGGCAGGGCCCAGGCCCTCCCCCAAGAGTTCAGGGTGAGAGTGCATCTCACATTGTTGGATGGGAGTCCAAAGTCCATGTGTATACTCGGGATAAATACTGATCTACTACCCAAGGCTCAATAGATTACCTAGACCTCCTCACTGACATCCACATTCAGGGGGTCTTGATCAGTCCCATGCTGGATTCCCAGGCATCAGCCTGGGATTCAAGAGTAAACCCTTGTCAGGTCAGCTGTTTCTGGGGGTTATAATCCCTTTGGTCATCAGTCCTCCCTCTCTGTTACTGGCTTTCTTGAGTTCAGCTCAGTACTTAATGGAGGGAGTCTGCCTCTTCTTCCATCAGCCACTGAATAAAGGTTCTGTTTCCCAGACTCTCTGGCCATGGGATTGTAGGCTGGCACTCCCCAGATCTATGTCTAAAATCCATATATGAGAGAGTACATACCATGTTTCTCTTTTTTTGACTGCGTTACCTCACTCAGGATGGTTTCTTCTAGTGTCATCCATTTGCCTGCAAATCTCAGGATTCCATTGTTTTTTTTTTCTGCTGAATAGTACTCCATTGTGTAAATGTACCACATTTTCTCTATCCACTCTTCAGTTTAGGGACATCTAGGTTGCTTCCAAGTTCTGGCTATTACAAATAATGCAGCTATGAACATAGTGGAACAGACATCCTTGTTGTATGAATGGGCATCTTTTGGATATATGCCTAAGAGTGGAGTTGCTGGGTCTTGTGGTAGGTTTATTCCCATTTTTCTGAGGAATCTCCATACTGATTTCCAAAGTGGCTGAACAAGTTGGCACTCCCACCAGCAGTGGAGGAGTGTTCCCCTTTCACCACATCCTCTCCAGCATAAATTGTCATTGGTGTTTTTTATTTTAGCCATTCTGACAGGAGTGAGATGGTATCTCAGAGTTGTTTTGATTTGCATTTCCCAGATGGCTAAGGATGTTGAGCACTTTCTCAAGTGCCTCTCAGCCATTTTAGATTCCTCTATTGAAAATTCTCTATTTAGTTCTGCAGCCCACTTTTTAATTGGATCCTTTGGTGTTTTGGAGACTTGCTTCTTGAGTTCTTTGTAAATTTTGGAGATCAACCCTCTGTCAGATGTGGGGCTAGTGACTATTTTTTCCCATTCTGTGGCCTGCCTTTTTGTCTTGCTGACTGTGTCCTTTGCCTTACAGAAGCTTCTCAGTTTCAGAAGGTCCCATTTATTAATTGTTGATCTCACTGTCTGTGCTAGTGGTGTTATGTTCAGGAAGCTGTCTCCTGTACCAATTCGTTCAAGGGTACCACCCACTTTCTCTTCTAAGAGGTTCAGTATGGCTGGATTTATGTTGAGGTCTTTGATCCATTTGGACTTAAGTTTTGTGCATGACAATTAACATGGATCAATCCACATTCTTCTACATGACAGCCTCCAGTAATGCCAGCACCATTTGTTGAAGATGCTTTCTTTATTCCATTGTATATTTTTAGCTTCTTTGTCAAAGATCAGATGTCCATACGTGTGTGGGTTAATATCAGGGTTTCAATTCGATTCCATTGGTCTACCTGTCTATTTTTGGGCCAATACCAAGCCGTTTTCAGGACTATAGCTCTCTATATAATAGAGTATATAATAGAGCTTGAAGTCAGGGATGGTGATGCCTCCGGATGTTGCCTTGTTGAACAGGGTTGTTTTGGCTATCCTGGGTCTTTTGTTTTTCCATACAAAATTGATTATTGTTCTTTCAAGGTCTGTGAAGAATTGTGCTGGGATTTTAATGGGGATTGCATTGAATCTGTAGATTGCTTTTGGCAGGATTGCCATTTTTACTACATTGATCCTACCTATCCAAGAGCATGGGAGATCTTTCCATTTTCTGAGGGCTTCTTTAATTTCTTTCTTTAAAGATTCAAAGTTCTTGTGATACAGGTCTTTCACTTGTTTGGTTAGCGTTACCCCAAGGTATTTTATGTTGTTTGTGGCAATTGTAAAGGGTGATGTTTCTCTGATTTCTTTCTCAGCCCTTTTATCATCTGTATATAGTAGGGCTACTGATTTTCTTGAGTTGATCTTGTAGCCTGCCACTTTGCTGAAGGTGTTAATCAGCTGTAAGAGTTCCCTGGTAGAGTTCTTTGGGTCATTTATGTAAACTATCATATCATCTGCAAACAGTGAAAGTTTGACCTCTTCCTTCCCAATTTGTATCCCCTTGATCCCCTTTTGCTGTCATATGCCAATGGCTAGAACTTCAAGTACAATGTTGAAAAGGTATGGAGAGAGTGGACAGCCTTGTCTTGTTCCTGATTTTAGAGGAATTGCATTGAGTTGTTTTTGTTTTTAAACCAGGTCCCTCTAGGTAGCCTGGCTGTCCTAGAATTCTCTACCTAGACCAAGGTGGCCTCTAACCCTACCTCTGAGTTCCACCTGCCTGTACTTCCCAGAATGCTGTTGAAAAGGGATGCCTCACCATGCCTGGCATTTTAAAGATCATTTATTTATTTGTTTGTTTACTTTGTATATGTCTGTGGGGGAGGCAAGGGCAGGGTTCCCAAGGATGCCAAAGGAATGTGTTGCTGGACTTATATGTGGTTGTGAACCACCCAGTGAATACTGGGAACTCTGCAAGGGTAGTAACTGCCCTGAATCATTGAACCATCTATCCAGCCCTTGGATTTTTGTTTTTTGTTATGAGGTAAGGTCTCACCATGTATCTCATACTGGGCTTGAACTCTCTTATTTTTCCCAGGCTAGCCTCTAACTTGTAGTCGTTTTTTTGGAGTTACATGTGCATGCTACCTTCCACAATTTTTGCCCATAAAAAATGGAGGTCTTGTTTTTAGGAACAACAGCTAACATTTATTGAGCAATTATTATATCCCAGGCATTGTAGCACCCGCTTTGCACTCAGCATCTCATTTATTTCACACAATAGTCTAAGCATTGACTATTACTGATCAATTTCTCATTTAAAAATGTTTTATTTTCAGTTGTGTGTGTTACATGTTTACATGTGGGTGCAGGTACCCTTAGAGACCAGAGGTGTCAGACAGCTGTAGTTTGGTGTGGTTGTGAGCCACCTGATGTGGGTGCTGGGAATAGAGCCTGGCTCTTCTGGAAGTACCTGCATGCTGACCTTAACCACTGAGCCATCTCTCCAGCTCTCTCTTTAAAACATTACTATGTAAAGTGTTAAATACATAGCAAAGGCCTGGCGTTGGTGGCGCACACCTTTAAGCCCAGCACTTGGGAGGCAGAGGCAGGCGGATCTCTTTGAGTTCGAGACCAGCCTGGTCTACAGAGTGAGTTCCAGGACAGCCTCCAAAGACACAGAGAGAAACCCTGTCTCAAAAAACAAACAAACAAACAAACCAAAGACCAAAAACCAAAACCAAAACCAAAACAGCAAAAAGTAAAGACAATGCCATCCATCATCCAGGGCCAACCATTGTCATCTCAGGGCCAAATTTGTTTTTCTGCTATTTCCATCTCTTCTTCATTTAAGTCAAATCTCAGACACCATATTAATTATCTATATTACATATATATATGTGAAAAGATATTTTAAAAACTTACAATGTACAATGCCATGCTATGATCACATTTAAACACATTTGAAATCATTCCTTATAGTGTCAATTATCTAGTCAATGTTCAAGTGTAGCCTGGAGTATTTTTGTTTGTTTGTTTTGTTTTTCAAGATAGGGTTTCTCTGTATTGGTTTGGAGGTTGTCC